GTTTGAGTAGAAGTATTGGCGCCGAGATCTTTATTCTGAAGTGCAATAAGGTAAATTTAATGTGATATGTAAATTTTATTTCGTTTTAGACAGCATAACAATATTTATAAGCGAATGCATATGTAAATGCATTGTGTAAAATTGTAACTTGAATACGCGTATCTTGATTTAGATTTAGCTATGAATTTTGATTTACACAACACATTTGCATATTTGTAATTCTGCGGTTGAAGGACCGTCAGAACTCACAAGGCTATTAATATGGAGGATAACCTATACAAATGCATTAATGCAGTATACATAGAACATAAAGGTCAGGTTTTTATAGATGAATGTTAAGACTTTAATATTGATATATGTTTATTTGAGTAATATGAAACTGTAGTGATTACTAGTCAAGTGATCAATGACTCAACAAGGCTATTAGGCAACAAAAATGAGTGTAGTACCATCATGAGATAGTTAAACTAAATACTAGGCTACTCGCAATCCGTAATTTGATAAAATAAAACATTCCTTTACTTTTCCCTAAGGAGCGAGTCGTGAGAGTCAGTCAGACTGACAATTGCTATAATTATCTCCCATTTCATGAAGTTAATTTTTTGTTGAAGCTGCTTTCAGAGTGATGCAAATTGCGTTCCTGAGGTTTAAAAATATAAAAATTCCTGGGGGACAGACCCCCCTAAGTGCCTCGCGCATTCGCCGCCCGCAAAACTAGATTCTACATCCGAAAACGTTGACTAACGTACGAAAAATCCTGGATCCGCCCCTGTTTCTTGCCATTGGGAGAGATAAAGTTTTGTATCCCAGTCGAAATTCAGGCCTAAGTAGGCGATATCGCACTAGTTCGTGTGTTCCAACAAGCTTGAAAGCAAGTTCTGCATTATACCTAGCAAAGACGACTATGTGTGCTGGATATTTGATCTTGTTAGCCGGCGATGTGAATATAAACCCTGGGCCCGTACGAAATCGTGCTCTGGAATGTCCAGCTTGCTGTAAAATTATTAGATGTAATCAAGCTCGATCGTCATGTATGCTATGTGAACACAGCTACCATCTGAAGTGTCTCGGAGCCGATTACGATCTTACGGGATATTGTCGACAATGTAGTGTACCTTCAGATAATGGTAGTCATATCCCTTTTGTTAGGCATTTATCAATATTTTTTCAAAATTTTGATTTTGTGTGTTTTAGGTATTTTAAATAGTGTAGTTTTACAATTTCAAATTACTTTCACGAAATTTTTAATTTTTAAATGCGAAAAATGCTTCTGAAGTTGTGGTTATACAAATTTTCCTTCTTAGCAACGCCTTAGCAACGACTTTTCACCCATATATCTTCGAATTGTTCAGCTATGAACTATCTTTTCTGGTTTCTACTTTTCGTGTATGGTATTTAAAGACTTTTTCTGGTTTCTACTTTTCGTGTATGGTATTTAACGACCATTTTACAAGCATGCGCGATCACATTTTGCATAGCAAATTCGCGATCGTCTTTGACCCACTGGCTGTAAACATCTGCTCGAAATTGTTCGTTTTTCCTGTATATTTTCGTCGAAAATTACTTCTGTTTGTTAAATATTGGTTTGATTTAGTTATTGTTTGTGGTTTCCTATAAAAATATGGGAAATACTCGCAATAGGAAGAGAAAACGAGCAAGAGTTGCTTGGCAGAAGAGTGCTAAAAAATTCAAAGATGGCGAACCATGTGATCAAAACGCTGGGCCTTCTAAGATGAAGATTGGCGATGTGGAGGGAAAGTTTGGCGAGAATTCTGGTTCAATGGATTCTGGCAAAGAAGGCACCTTATTTATGGACATGTCAGTTTTATTTGGCGTGTTTGATCAAGTCTTAGAATGCCCAGAATGTGGACATAAAATGACTTCTCATATTGACATGAAAAAGAAGCACTGGAATGTGAACATACTGAATGTGACTGGAAATACTGCTTCCATACTTCGAAAAAACAAGGGCCATCATTTGAAGTAAATGTGAGAGCTGTCCTTGCATTTAGAGAGATTGGCAGAGGCCATAATGCTATGGTGATTCTCACCAAACTTATGAACATGCCACCACCACCAACCCGTCGTAACTTTACCAAAATACAGAACAAAAATTTATTGCCTGTTGTTAAACAGGTAGCCAATGACAGTATGATGAACAATGCCACGAATGTCAAGGATTCCTGTGGAAATGACAAAGGTGAATGTGGGATTTCCCTTGATGGTACTTGGCAAAGACGAGGCCATGTGTCACACAATGGTGTTGTTGCCGCAATAAGCCTGGATACCAAGAAAGTTCTGGATGTCGAAGTACTCTCCGACAAGTGTCGAGCATGCCAGAAATGGCAAAAGAAACGAAATGATCCAAAATACCAAGAATGGAAGGCAAACCACCGGTGTAAAATCAACCACACTGGGAGTGCTAACTCCATGGAAACAGTTGGTGCTTTGCGGATTTTTGAAGGTCATACATATCACGGGGTCTACAATATAAGGACATGCTTGGTGATGGGGACTCAGCAACATATAATAAAATTGTTCAGAGGAAGCCTTATGGAGATGAATGTATACCCAAGAAATTGGAGTGCATTGGTCATGTCCAAAAACGGGTTGGCAGCAGGTTGCGCAAGTTAAAAAGTGCAAATAAAGGTTTGAAATTGGCTGATGGGAAAGGACTAGGAGGCAAAGGAAGATTGACTGATGGAAAGATTGATGTTTTGCAAAACTATTATGGACTTGCTGTGAGGGAGAATTTGGATGATGTAGACCAAATGGCCAAATCGATTAAAGCAAGTTTATACCATGTTGCTTCAACAGATTTAAACCCTCAACATCATCTTTGTCCGAATGGCGAAGACAGTTGGTGCGGATACAAGAGGGACGAAGAATCGTACAAACACAAGAATGGTATACCTGAGTGCATTGTCAAGAAAATTAAACCAATCTTTGATGAATTAAGCCAACCTCAATTGCTCCAAAAATGCACTCATGGAATGACACAAAATGTCAATGAGTGTCTAAATGGCCTAATTTGGGATCGCTGTCCCAAAACCACATATGTGGAACATGAAACTGTAGCTCTGTCTACATATTTGGCTGTCGTGAAATTTAATGATGGGGACATTTCCTTTCTAAAGATTTTTGAAGGCTTAGATATCAAGCCTGGTTCATTTACTGCACAAGGTTGTCAAGATTGTGACCAATCACGAATTGAGCTGTCGGCCAAAAAGAGCAAGGAAACAGTAAAAAGTAGAAGAAAAACATTGAGGCACCTCAGGAAAAACTTTGTTGATGAGATAGAAGAGAAAGAAGGTGTGGTTTATGAAGCTGGGAGCTTTTAACACTTTTTAAGGTACATTGACATTAAAGCAAACTTTTCAATTAAATTTTCTCATTTTTGCTATTTCTCAGGTATCATCAATCTTTGTGACATTATAATTTTGTAAATATTAGCTGTATTAGATTGATATTTGGTGTGGTTACTTTCAATAACATTATCTAGTGAATAAAGCTCTTCAGATATTGATATTTTTTATCATTGATGAATTATTTGCAAATTGCTTCCACAAAGGCACTAATTTATTCATAAAATTATTCAAATATTTAAAATTTGGCTCAATTTTTTTTTAAAGGATTTTAAACAAAATTGAAGAGCTTTAGGCACTAGTTCATTCTCCAAGCTTTCTGAAAATATATTGTTCATTAAATTTGGTTCATTAGTTCCTGAGTTATGATGTGTCCGATGCTTTGCGATTATGCGTTAATTAGTGGCCGCCATATTGGATAATTAGTGTAATTAATGTTTTTCCCAAATTTTTTTTCCATGGGTCAATTCTCTTTCCCTTACCCTTTCAAAATATGATATTTTCACATTGATCTCTTTAAAAACTAAGAAAAAAGTTGTAGTGGGGTTTGACTACCTTAATTAATTAAGATTTGATATTGAAGAGTTAAATATCTCTCCAAAGCTGGCTAAAGTAATCGAGCTTCGTGGTCTTAAAATCTTGCACCAGAATATTCAAAGTCTCCGTTGCAAAATTGACGAACTGAGACTTCTGTTACATAAGCTTAACTCTGGTGTTCAGTTGTTGGCTCTAACAGAGACGTAGGCTAATCGTAATATAACGGATGAGGAATTTGAAATACCGGGGTATAACTTGTATCGAAAGGATAGAGGAAGTAAAGGCGGAGGAGTAGCAGTATTTGTCAGAAATGATTTGGTAATTACGAGGGGAGAGGATCTGGAGAAGTCCGATGTTGAAGGACAGGAGATAACTTTACCAAAATCGCGTAGTTTTCTCCTGGGAACATTTTATCGGGCGCCGAATTCTTCGACTTACTATGATAAAAACTTTATGTTTAAACTAGAAGATATCCTGGACATTGCTGTCTCACAAAACCAGGAAGTAATTTTATTAGGTGACTGGAATACCAATTTCTTGCAACCCAAAGCTACCATTACTGAATGTAAACAATTGAAAGCGCTATTTCGGACATTGTATTTTAAACAACTGATCAATGAACCGACTAGAATTACTAAGGACTCACGCACACTTATAGATTTGATAGCTACAAATAACCCACAGAACAAAAGCGATTCCGGAGCAATAAGTACCAGCCTGAGTGATCATGAGATGGTTTATTGTGTTCGCAAATTGAATTGGAAAAAAGCACCATCCCAAACTAAAACGTTTAGAAACTATGCTAATTACAATCATGCAAATTTTTGTGAAGACCTCAAAAATGTTAATTTACGTCCCGAAGGCGAAGAAAGTTCAGCTGATGTTAATCAGCTCTGGGACGCTTTTGAAAATGGCTTTATTTCCATTGCCAATAAACACGCACCTGTTATACAAAAGCGCATACGTGGAGTTGATAATAGTCCTTTTCTGAACAATGACATAAGACGTGCTATGCATGAACGCGCTTATTTTCTTAAAAAAGCGAGAAAATCTGGGCTTGTTGAAGATTGATCGACTTACCGTTGTCTTAGAAACCGCGTGACAAACTCGATCAGAAGGGCAAAGGAATCATATAATAGGCGTATTATTGAGGAAAATAGCAATGATAGCAAGGCGTTTTGGAAAACGATAAAAAAGGTTTTACCAGACGAAAGTAAGAAATTATCTCCTACTATGTTTGATGAAAATGACAATGTTTGTCACGATAAGCATCGAATCGCGAACATGTTTAACAGATTTTTTGTGACTGTCGTTGATCGTCTTCGTGAGTCATTTGTGACTCCCATGGTGGCTACTTGGAATTATGTCGCTGTTGGGCATCTACAACAATCTCACCGCCAACCTTTTCAGTTTAACGATGTCACAGAAAGTTTCGTCTTAACTCAACTTAGTTGTTTAAAGATACGGAAAGCTCCTGGTTTGGATAATATCCCCCCTCGTCTTCTTAAAGACAGTGCTACTATTATTGCCGAGCCTCTCGCGAATATTATCAATGCTTCCTTACGTCAAATGCAAGGTACCCGATGCTTGGAAAGCCGCCCGCGTGATCCCGTTGTTTAAGAAGGGAAAAGTTGAAAATGTAAGTAACTATCGGCCAATTTCCATCTTATCAGCCGCGTCAAAACTGCTGGAAAAAGCTGTTCACATGCAGCTTTGTGGTTACCTGTTGGAGCATAAGATCTTGAGTCCGTACCAGTGTGGCTTTCGCAAGCTCCATTCTACCCAATCTGCTGCTCTCTCGTTCGCTGATACCATCAGGCGTAACATTGATCAAGGAATCATGACTGGAGCTGTGTTTATAGATTTAAGTAAAGCCTTTGACAGCATTGACCATAGCATCTTATTGAAGAAGCTCTTCTCTATGAGTATTGTTGGCAGGGAACATGAATGGTTTGCGGACTATCTTCGTGGTAGAACGCAAATTGTTGATTATCAAGGAACATTTTCAGATCAAGAGGCAGTTATTGTTGGTGTACCCCAAGGGTCTATTCTCGGCCCTTTGCTGTTTGTATTACATGTGAATGATTTGCCGAGTGTTATTCGACATTGCCAGATTCTTATGTACGCCGACGGCACAGTAGTTTTTTATTCTGGGAAGATTGCGTCAACAATTTTGAGGAAACTTACTGAAGATCTTGATGTTATCGGTTCGTGGCTATGCAGTAACAGTTTGTTTCTAAATGTAACTAAGACTGAAGCTATGTTGTTTGGTACACAGGCTAGACTTTCTCAAGTTGATGACTTCTGCGTAACATTTAATGGAAATCCGATAAAACGTGTATCTGAATTTAAATACTTAGGAATTCAGTTTGATGAAAAAATTTCATGGAATGCTCATGTTAAGTATATTACTTCAAGAGTAGGGAAACGATTAGGCATGCTAAGGCGTATACGGGGTAACATTACCAGGGGCGGATCCAGCCAATAATCTGACCGTAGCATTTGGAAAGACCTCGCATTGCTAGGGGGTTCCGGGGGCAGCCCCCCGGAAAAGTTTTGATATTTGAAGCCCGGAAACGCCATTTCCTGCGTTCTGAGCGGCGTATTTCCTCCTCAAATTTCGGTCCTCAACAAATAAACATTTTAGACAAAAGTAACGAAAAACAAAGTTTCGTTTTATTCCAATTGCAATACACTGCAGCTTTGTTCATATGGACGGTGAAGCATTTGCTTTTGGAGTTTTGGTGCATGGTTGTGATATTAAACATCAACAGTTTGAGTTGGATAGTAAGATTGACTTGTAAGCCAATTACCGTCGCTAAAGGAAACATCAAGAGTTCGTAATTAAGCGCATTATGCATTGCTTCTTCAGTAGGCTAACTGCTGCTGTATGATCATATTTTCAAAAACTGACATGGCAGTATCAGACAAGCACTTTGCAAAGGCAATTTTAAGCCAAGTGAACGCTCCATTCTCATCCTGCGAATTAACTACGGGATGACCGGCATAGTATGGAGCATGTTCATGCAACTCAGTACAGGGTGTATCATAAAAAAGTAGACAATTTTGAAACGGCTCTCAATTTCATAAACCCGATGTCATTAAATATTTGATAAATATAGATTGTTTGGGTACTTATAATGTAGAATAATCAAGAAATTTTCGTAAAGATTAATTTTCCAAAGCAGGGGACGTCTTTTTAGCAGCATTAAAAATAGCTTGCTTGTGAAATTTTAAAGGTTAAAATGCATTTTGAGTTCATGGACGAGAAATTTGTTACGTGTTTTATTAAATGGTCCGAATATCAGAAAATCTGCTCAATTTTAAGTCCTTCAAATAGGCGCTGAAACTTTCATTTTTTGGCACCAATGCCTTGAACACGCATGCTTCAGTAATTCATGCATTTACCTAATTCGCATATTGTTACCGGTACTTGAATTAATTCACTTTTCTTTACAACACAGTTAAAAAATCTATGTTAACCCATTACAGTATTGTGCAACATCTTTCCAATGATGACTAAAGTTACCCAAGAACTAGACAAAGTAATGTAGCACAGAATGTGGTATTTTGGTGTGTATTGTGACGTATTACAGTAATTGAGTGAACTATCGTTTATATTTGCTTGCATGGCCAACCTTCACATGGTTCATTTGAGTAACAGCTATATAAGACAATGGGGGAGATACAGGCTTTTAGCCAGGATCCTAAAAGAGGGCGTCCCATTTGGTACGATACATCTTCAGTAAGGGGGGGGGGGGGTTCGAGAAGTTTATGTTACTTTATATCAGTATCTGTTCCAAGCTCGTTCGAAATTTTTCAAACACACTTGGCTTTGTGAGTACCGAATTTGTGCTGCTATGCTTCTTTACTCAATTATGACATTTTCATTCAGCCAGGTACTCCATCAAATTGATCAAAATGTCAAATGTATAATAATAATGAGAATTGAAGCTATTTTGTTTCAGATATATTAATATACTTAGGGAAATCATTGCAAATAATTTCCCTTTTCCCCCAGAATTTGGGTGTCCAAAGGCGTCCATTTTTTGTTCTATGGGCGTCCTAGGACGCCTGGACACCCAAGGCAAAAGCCTGGGGTGATGTGGTGACTACCCATACTACCACCCAGTTGTCAGAAATCTTAATTCTTTAACTTATTGAGAGCCAGCACTCTCCCCTTGACAAGCAAAATCATCTGGTGCTAGACAGAGTAAAATAATAAAGTATGGCACTTTAGGCCTCATTAATTTAATTTAATTTAATTTATTAACTTTACCAGATTCAAACAATTAACGTTAACAAGAAAACTGGTAGGGCAATCGCAACAGCTTGCGCCAATTACTGCGATCCCTAAATGTTAGACAAATACACTATATACGTACATAGAAAAAATTAATTACTAACAAACTATCAGATTTAACTTTTCACATTGTGGCCCGCAGGACCACTTCTAATTAGAGCACACTGCAACTCAATGAGTTAAACTTATATGTATATATATGTAGCCTACGGTACCAATTTATAGCTTTCAATCAGATGTAAAAATAGAAAAAAAAAATTTTTACAGCTTTTTACACACATAGTTTTTCAATCACCATTTAAAGACTTTCAGGAATTATTTGGGGGAGGGGCTAATTGGCCCCCTTGTATGCACTGATAATAAGAATATTTATATCAGTAATCTGTAGTCCCAGATGATATTTCTCCTATTTCCATGATTGTTTAAGTGCTCATAACTGTAAAAGTGTGGTTGCAACTTGCTTTCAAGTGTTTGAAGGCTCAATGTTATATTGCTCCATAATAGTGCTTTTTGCTTGACAACCTGCCTAAAGCCTGATTCACAGTTAGTGATTTTCTTGACGAATTTCTCATCCTGACAGATTCAAATGAGTGGGCTTGCATACAATTGGTTTTCACAAGTATACGTTTCCATGTCTTTTGCATGTTACTCACCCAGTGGTCGCCCCCTCAGCAGGAGAAATATTTGCCAAAAAAGATTTGCTGGTTGGGAACCTGAATTAAGATCATCTCAAAACACGTCTCAATGTGAAGATGGCTCACCTCCATATAAACACATTCTAATTTTATCCAGTAATTTTTGACACAATAATTTATAGGATATTCAATATAATTTAAGTTAAACATGCCACCATACTGCATATTATTAATATCACCAAAATATTTACAAATAAAGTAACATTGAATTTGTAAATATTGCATTGCCGGTAATGGTGCAGGCGCCATATAACTAATGCATACATGTCAACCAAACGGTATTGTCGTTGACAATACGAGTCTTTAATTCAAAAATATACCAACCAGACATGCAGTTACATGTAATATTATTTCACATTGTAACTTTATCACAAAGAAATTAAATTAATATATACTAGTGAATCGACTGGATAAATAAAACATTGTTCATGAATCATGATGACATGTTTGCATGATAACATTCGGTGCTCAGCTAATATTTCGCTGTAATATATTCGATCACAATAAATTTACATACACAATGCAATTTTGCATACAGATACAAGTTATAAATATTAGAAGTCAGATTCAGTCTCACCTTGCAGGTATTAAAGCACAAGCGCAGGTCTATCTTTCTAGACGTTCGTATATGTTTTCTATTCCAACTTCCCTTGCTGTCTTCCCGACCACAATGTTGATTCAACAGTTCCGCTTGAAACTTAACGTCTTAGCGCCAAAAAATTTCAGTTTCGTACTAGAAGGCATGCACGAACAATGCACAGTGAGAAGTTTCCGAACTATTCCCGATTTAACCATTTCCATAATATTGCGCAACAAAAACATGGCCACCGTGTCGCACCGTGTCTCACGTGACAAAATCTCGGCCTGTGATTGGCTTGACACGCTCCACCGTGTCAAGAAGTTACTATATTTAGTAACAGCAGAACCGCGGACCGTGTCTCAAAATCGCAGTCGCATTTGACGAACATTTTCCGAACTTAAAATGATCAACTTCGAGTAGTTCTCGGTTATCGTCGTGGCAAACATTTAATATCCAGCAAGTGCGGGGTTTTCCCAGTGGGTTTTCCCAATGTTTTGAACCTTTTACAGCACAGGAATTACATCTTTTGAGATATTTACGTTTTTATTTAAATTTCGCGATTTTGTTTGAAAAAAACCAGTAATACGTAACGCTGGACCAGGAGTATATATCTGTTTGAAGTTGTAATGTTTGGGACGTTTATACGTATAAATAACGATCGCTTCCGTCCTTATAGACCAATTTAGAGAATATGACGATCTCAAAAATCTGACCGTGTCTCAAGCCACGCTTGCTACCCCCTGGATCCGCCCCTGCATTACGTCACATTGTGCGAATGTGATTTATCTATCCTATGTAAGACCCATTCTGGAATATTGCAACATTGTTTGGGATAGTTGTGGTGTTTGTAACAGCACCTGTTTAGAAAACTTTCAAAGACGCGCAGCTAGGATTACAATGAACATTAGTGATAGTGACGAAGCTATGGACAAACTGAAATGGCCGACTTTACAGAATAGGCGGGAAAACCATGTTTTTAAATTTGTCAAAAAGTGTATTAAGGGTCATTGTCCTCAATTTTTTAAGGATTATTTCACTTTTAATAATGTGATACATAACCGTACGACAAGGCAAAGTAATATGCTTCATTTGCCAAGGGTTCGAACAGAAACCGCAAAACGCTCCTTTTATTAAAACGGTTGTAAGATTTTTAATAGACTTAATTCTTAGTATTTTTATAATGTAGCTTACTAGTTTATAGCAGTAGCAGTAGTTGTAGTATATTTTGTATATTCATGTAAGTAGTATAGGAAGTAGCGGTTCTAGACCATTTTTTCAGCCCGCGATCTCGTCCCAATTCTGGTCAGCAGTTCTTCAGATTTTCCCTGAATAAAACGGGCTCAATTTTCTAGACCATTTTTTTTCTAGACCACTTTCCTAATTAATGTTTTTGTATTTAATTTTCTAATCTTTATTTATCAGAATTATTTAACAATTTAATTTTCTATTGAGTGATGTCCGTACGCGTAACTTGTAATTCCGTCTTCAAGTAAGTACCGTTTGTCATCGAAACAACTCAGTGTAATTTTCTTCAGTTCGTAAGTTCCGATTTTATGTTTGACGGATCTGATCGTGTTCATCTTATGTCTCATCAAACCTCTCGTCTTGATTACGTTCTTGAAGTTTTCGTGAGTGAGTTTGTTTCTGATCACGTACTTCTTCACTCCTTTTGCTGTCATTCCACCTCCACCACTTTCCTTCACGTAAGAGTACATCTTCGACCTCAACCCAACGAATTCAGTTATTGGTACTCCTCCAGCTTCGTCCTTAAACTTACCGATTACCTTCTTGTTATGAGCTGAGTAGTACGGGGAATCTTTTGGATAATCTGAGTTGTCCCAGCAGTCCTGCTCTTCA